AAATATAAATCTGAATTTCTTTCACTAACAATACAAATTCACCTATCATACCTCATGTTTTGTGTGTGCAACTTGTCTCGTGTGTTTCTCAGTTCTGCAGCGGGAACTTACTGATACAGAAAAATTGGAATTTCATATAATTACAAATTTTACATCATTACATCGGTTAATTACTAAGGCTTGCACATACATTATCCGGAAAACAGATTGTTCATCTGAATGTAAGTTATGGGTGAGTTGCTCATTGACCCTGTCCCACGGACTGGTAATAACTCGAGGTTACTTTCCGGTTTGGTCGGTAAATTCAAGTCTATAACTGCACTTATTTTATTTAAAGTGCTTATAAACCAACATTTATGAACATTTCAAATCTTATATTCACACTTACCGGAACATAACACTCTTTATAAATCCACATTTGTTAATTATTATTTTCTCTTTCGCTGTCAAAAATGGCGGTCGAATCCTTCTTGTCAATCATTGCGAGTCACGTGCCGAGTCACGTGATCGAAGACTTACAATTAATTACTATTTGACTGGTCAGTACGGGAAGTGACCAATCTCTGTGTTATAGTAGTCTCAGATTTTTAAGATCTAAATTATATGAAAAGGGTGGGGTAACAGAACCCAAGCGACACCCCCTATCAATTAAGTGAACTGAATTATTGTCTTTTGCAGTAGTCCGAGTCGACATCTGTAACTAATCATGCAAATTGATAGTCAACAGTATACCTTTTTCAGAATGTCAGCTTACAACAAAGAATCACTGGTGATAGGGGAGTGTAACCGATAAATTTATCCTGAATCAGATAAGATTTTCCCAGTAACGGAGAACCCCTTTCTTTCAGTGAATATAAATAGTGACGGGGGTCTCACAAATAAATATAAATCTGAATTACAGGAACATCGATTAGCAAAGTAAACTTACATATTAATCTCGAAGTTATTTACGGTAAAGACAGACTGTGCTCCTGAATTAAGGTATTATACATTTGTGTATTTTACTCGGGGGGGGGGGGGGGGGGGTCATTTCCTATATACAAGGTGATAGGACGTGCCGCTAGAATAGGTCACTTTTTCCAGCTTGAAAATATGGGAATAGGTGGGGAAAACATCAGAAATATATGATTAGGTCGATAAAGTTCCAATTACTTGTATATGAAAAGCCCTGTCATTTAATCACAGCCAAAAGTCTCGCCGTAAGTAAACATTATACATTGAATCTTAGTCTTAAAATATTCCACGTTTCCAACACACTCCACGAAACCCAATCAATATGGGAAAAGGTTACAATTTTACCCACGCAATATATGAAAAGGTATACATTTTTACTGAGACTACTATAACACACTGACACTTAACACAGAGATTGGTCACTATAGATTTATCGGATTATCTGAGTCTCCGGTAGTTAGCTACGTTATTTTAACGTAGTTTCGTATTCGACCGTAGCAGACGACATATATCACCTATCACTGAGAATACTATAACAGTATCGGATATTATTATTTTTCTTTTAAAAATAATTTAAAAACAAAATTGAATTAATAAAAAAAAAAAAAGAATATAGTTTTTATCTTTCAAATGCAGTTATCTCTATTCATATTTAAATTTTTGTTTTCAATCATTAATAATTTGTTAATAGTTTGTTATTATGCGGCCACTCTTGAAAATGTGAATGTGATTAATCTTATCAATCTTACAGTTACATTGTTTTGCTACACGTCCGTTAATTGTATCTAATATACAAATATTTTACCTGTAAAGACAGGTAGTCTCAAAAGCATGGGAGATGAATTTTGTTTCACAGCTGGGTGCCCAAGGTACACGAGGCTCCGTTTATTGCAGTAAACTTTTATTCTATACTTGTAAGGTATTTCACTGCTGAGTGCCCAATATACATGTTTATTGTAGTAAACCTTGTGAAATATCGTTGGTGCACTTGTGGTAGGATTCAGGAGGGTGTGGATGGGGTTTTATAGAATGGAGAAATAGGGGCAAAAAAGGTATAGAATGGAGAAAAATGGACCGACAAATAAAGAATAGAGAAGAGAAAATAATAAGTTATTAAGATTTAAAGAATAGAGAAAAATGGCATAGAAATTATAGGAAATAAAGAACCCCCATCCAGACCCTCATTCAGATTATCCAACGTAAATTTTTTTTTTCAAACAAGTTTCAACCCCCCTACCACTTTTTTAAATTTTCGTCTGATAATTAGGTCAAGTTTTTGCAAACAATGTAATAAGCGGCGATCACAGAAGAGAGAAAAAATTTCATTAAAGTTAAATGAGTAATTTTCCTTACGTAACAGATCAGCAAAGAGGTTATAACTGCAATGGATACATAAAGCAAACATAAGCCCTACAAATTATATATATGTTCCCAAAATATCGCTGGCATTTTCATTTTTCAATTCACAATGTCCAGTAACATTGATTTTTTATCTTGGGATGATAGTGATCTCAATCTTGATCTTTTACGTGGTGAATATACTGCATCAGATTTTGAATCGGAGGATGACTATACGTCCCTGCTGCAAAGACTGCAAAAACTACAAAAACTCCAAAAGAAGCATCAACCGCAAGTACATGTAAATCAGAACGAAGAAGCTTCAAAATTATGTGACTGAATAATCAAATTATCTCTATGTTAACATAAATAGAACCACATTAGGGTAATTTACGATGACATTTTTTCAACACCAGAAAAATGTGCCCTCTTTCAAAATCCCAGACAAGAAATTTTGTGCTTCAATACAGAGCCGTAAAGTTTTTGAAAATTTGAATATTGTCTATTGTTAAAGTGTCGTATGTTTTAGTTATATCGCTATGCTTTTTGTAACCCTAATAATTGAGCAACTCAGATGAAAAGAGTTGTGATTTGCTTTAGTTTTTTTAGCCACAGCAAATATAAATGTGCTTGTTCAATGTTTGGTGACAAACCATGTTAATTGTTGTCTGCATGATGCTTTGTAAAAAGGTTTCCTATAACATTTTTTTGTTGGGTAACTGCTGACAGTTTACCATGTGAAAATTCTGAGAAGCCAAAAATAATGCGAAATGTATAAATAAGTAGCAATGTCAGATCTAAACAAGAATGTTAAATATGATAGCATATATTGATATCACCTTTCTGTAAATTCAACTTCGATTCACAACTGCTTGTCAGTGGCAAATATTTCATGTACAGTCAGCCTGATTAAACCAAAATGAACTATTTTCAAATTATGTTTAAAGTTTGTTTTTATGTTATGTCGTTACACCAATGTCCCATGCTAGTGGTGGTGATTAGCGCCTAAAAATATTTAACATTGTCATTCTTTATGTGCCCGTCTCAAGTCAGGAGCCTGTAATTCAGTGGATGCTGTTGGTTCATGTCCGTCATATTTGAATTTTCGTAAATTGCTTTGTTATTGTAGACACTTCGTTTTCTCTAGTGAATTGTTATATATTTTCCATGTCGGGGACTTTTGAAGCTGACTGCACGTTATAGGTTTTCTCATTGTTGAAGGTAATTACGGTGCATTCCAATAACTTACATCCACTTCATTGAACTTCATTTGGACTAAAGGAGTTGTCTGATGATCATTAGCAAAATTATATAAAAATCTCCTTAAAGTTTGCTTCAAGTGGCTATTCCTTTAATATATATATATATATATAAAGATGTGTGGTTACTTGTTTTTTTTTCTTTCATTGAACTGTTATCCAAACTGAGCGTGTTACACAATGTAGTGAATTTCTGCATTCCTGTCTTAGTTTTAATGTATATAATAATAAAAATGTATATTCAAAGACTTAAATATTTATTTCTCCATGTAAGACAAGCATGACAAATTCAATGAAATTAAAAAAAATACTAAAAAAAGTCATTTTCTCCTGTAGTACTTCTCCCTTCTTCTAACGTGTGATTTCTTTCTGGGGGTATTCCTACAATAAAGAATATATTATAAATAAAAAGAAATAATGTTTGTCAAGTTTATAGCATAGGCAATTCATTAATTTTTAAGACAGTAATCTGAGACTTGAGACTCAGCAGTAATTGACCAATCATGTCAATATGGATCAAAATAGTTAAACTGATAAAGGATGCAGACCAAAGGTGCATGTACTTTTTACATCATGTTTGGGTCAATTATTTAAAAAACATACGTCTATTTAGGAACTCATGATGTACTGGTATTTCACATGGTGACACATTTTCATTGCATAATATTATTATACTAGCATGTATAAACTGCATATATATTATCAAGGGAACCAAATATAAATCTGAATTTCTTTCACTAACAATACAAATTCACCTATCATACCTCATGTTGTGTGTGTGCAACTTGTCTCGTGTGTTTCTCAGTTCTGCAGCGGGAACTTACTGATACAGAAAAATTGGAATTTCATATAATTTCAAATTTTACATCATTACATCGGTTAATTACTAAGGCTTGCACATACATTATCCGGAAAACAGATTGTTCATCTGAATGTAAGTTATGGGTGAATTGCTCATTGACCCTGTCCCACGGACTGGTAATAACTCGAGGTTACTTTCCGGTTTGGTCGGTAAATTCAAGTCTATAACTGCACTTATTTTATTTAAAGTGCTTATAAACCAACATTTATGAACATGTCAAATCTTATATTCACACTTACCGGAACATAACACTCTTTATAAATCCACATTTGTTAATAATTATTTTCTCTTTCGCTGTCAAAAATTGCGGTCGAATCCTTCTTGTCAATCATTGCGAGTCACGTGCCGAGTCACGTGATCGAAGACTTACAATTAATTACTATTTGACTGGTCAGTACGGGAAGTGACCAATCTCTGTGTTATAGTAGTCTCAGATTTTTAAGATCTAAATTATATGAAAAGGGTGGGGTAACAGAACCCAAGCGACACCCCCTATCAATTAAGTGAACTGAATTATTGTCTTTTGCAGTAGTCCGAGTCGACATCTGTAACTAATCATGCAAATTCAGTGATAGTCAACAGTATACCTTTTTCAGAATGTCAGCTTACAACAAAGAATCACTGGTGATAGGGGAGTGTAACCGATAAATTGATCCTGAATCAGATAAGATTTTCCCAGTAACGGAGAACCCCTTTCTTTCAGTGAATATAAATAGTGACGGGGGTCTCACAAATAAATATAAATCTGAATTACAGGAACATCGATTAGCAAAGTAAACTTACATATTAATCTCGAAGTTATTTACGGTAAAGACAGACTGTGCTCCTGAATTAAGGTATTATACATTTGTGTATTTTACTCGGGGGGGGGGGGGTCATTTCCTATATACAAGGTGATAGGACGTGCCGCTAGAATAGGTCACTTTTTCCAGCTTGAAAATATGGAAATAGGTGGGGAAAACATCAGAAATATATGATTAGGTCGATAGAGTTCCAATTACTTGTATATGAAAAGCCCTGTCATTTTTTCACAGCCAAAAGTCTCGCCGTAAGTAAACATTATACATTGAATCTTAGCCTTAAAATATTCCACGTTTCCAACACACTCCACGAAACCCAATCAATATGGGAAAAGGTTACAATTTTACCCACGCAATATATGAAAAGGTATACATTTTTAAGATCTAAATTATATGAAAAGGGTGGGGTAACAGAACCAAAGCGACACCCCCTATCAATTAAGAATTGAAGTGCCCTCCCCCCCCCCCCCCCCCCCCCCCAGGTATTCTACTGCTACAAGATATTTGATTTCACGCACCAGTTGCTGAGCAGAGAACCATACTTTCAAGCCAGGGACAGTCTATACTAACAGTTAGTATAGAGAGTCCCTGTAAAAAGGCAGGCAAATCCTAACAGTACTGTAACTTAATGATACATGTATGTCAAGTTACAGCACCTCACCCAGCACAGTTAGCACACTGGTGTGTGTCAATCTTATAATATAAAACTGCGTAGGTTCATATCGTTTTTTCGGATATCTTTTAGGACCGTTGTCAACATGGTCAAATCCGACCTGCCACTTTGCAACCTGACCTGCAAAAATATAATTCGACTAAAACAATGCCAGTCATAATTGCTTTTTGAGACTGGGCGACTGAAAAAGTTTTAGAATGTGACCTTGTGACCCTACTTGGAATTCTCCATTCATCGGCGTGTGTCGGTGTGGCTAAAAAGGGGGCGTTGTTTTTTTTTCTTGGGACAAAAAATTATTTCTATCTTTATTAAAAAAAAATCAAGACCAATCATAACTTGAACTTTTTTTTCAAAACTCAGTGTCGTATTTTATTGTTTTCCCAACAATTTTTAATAAAAGCTTAAAATGTTTGTTTCACTTCCCTCCGACTTCCCTCCTGATTTGTTTTCTTAAGAAATTATAGAATCAGTAAATGGATATATATAAATATATGTCTGTGGTCACCGTAATGCATTTAGGAAAGAAATTCCAGCATGCATCATCAAATAATTCATGTGTATTTGTGACATCAACATAATTGAAACATTATATTATATCCCAGTAATTATGTAAATCATTTTGATTTACAATTATATATGTCTGGGACTTATGCATGTATATATCTCACAGGCACTTGTCTCAGAAAAAAAAAAAATCCTCTATACTTTAATAAAGGTATATAAGAAATAAAATTCTGAGTGCCTGTGATATATCTGTCAGTCCCAGAATAATAAATATAATTGTATCTTGATCTTTGGAAAAATCCGATTATTAAATTGTTAAATTCTTTTACTTCACAATTATGTCAAAGTATATTTTTATAAGTTTTAAATTTTAAAGTTAAAATGAATATTCCGTTTTGATCTGAGGAAAAACTTTTTAAACTGTAATGACATGGTCAGTAAACTGACTTGTTGCATGGCTGATTACAGGTAATTAAAGCATGCAGTAATTTTCCATTACGACAGTGCGTGTACCCTGGGTTGTGTATAACGTATTAGAAATACCATAGTTTTCTAGAGAACATCCTGTCTATGTGTAATACAGATTGATGACATTACACAAAATTTCTTTCGTTAAATGTAGTTAAGTATCTGTGTCCATTTCCTATTGTTACACTACAAATTTTTCGAAGAAAAAATGTTAAAATAAAAAAAAAAATCATTTATATAAAATAAAGAAGAAAAAAAGTAGCAAATAAACTTATGTAACTACGCATTGAGTAAACATAATTTCACTTTACATGTACAAACCCTTGAGAAAACGTGTATATAGATGTGTTTAAAAAGGCCAATTCCCAGTGGATTTATTTCACACTAGGACCACAGGCACTCGTCTCAGAATTTTGTTTCCTATATACCTTAATATAACATTAAAAGTATATAGGAAAAAAAAATTCTGAGACAAGTGCCTGTGACTAGGACCTAAGATAACTAGAACTAAGTTCATTGGAAAGTCTTTTTGTCTGATACATGTATACCTATAGATAATGTACATAATTAAAAACAGCTTCAAATATATGCCTATAAATTAACGGTACGTCTAAAAACTGCTCAGGACTCCTGAGTGCAGACAGGACATAAAAAGTAACTCAGGACATGTATATATGTTTTAGTGAGCGTTGAAGGTATACATTCGATAGATAATTTAATTTTTGATCTTATAATTTTGGTTTTGATAAAATCAAACCAACATTAAAGAAGTTATTTTGGATACGTCATGCATGACCGATGATCATATTCAATACCAATCATCATTTTGACAGAGACATATAATACATATACTGTATTATCTGTCTCTGATTTTGATTAGGTCGTTTGATCTTTAATAATTAGGACTGATTGGTGATGGTTATAAACACATACAAGTTAACTTTGCAAACAAAAAAAACAAAAAAAAACACGTTTCCTTTGAAAAATTATAATAATACATGAATATTGTTTTTACAAAAAAACGTTAAATAAATTTTTCGTTTTGTATGTAATAATTGAAGCCATTTAGAAATATAAGAAATCTTCACAAAGTCGGGAAATTTTCAATTCAAGTTATTTCATTTGAAAACATTAAAAAATATAGATCTTATTCGTTGTAAAATGTGGCGTCCTTGGAGATAAAAGAAAAACCCGTTTAAATAGGGTTTGTCTACTTTCGTCTAAAAGTCACGATTTAGTTTTGGGATATTTTTTTCTTTGAATAAACTTAATTTTAAAAACGTTTCAGTATTTTCTGAAACATTTTTAAAAGGAAACGGACTTGTAAACAAAATTTATTTTTGAATATTATTATTGAACAATGATTGTTAAGAAAACAATCTGCAAAAGTGGTTTGGTAATTAACTGGCTTCATGCTGTCAAAAATGTCTCCTTTTTATAAGTTATCGATAATAAAAAAAAAAACTATTTGAAGGCGAATTAATCATTTCCTCAACTAAATACCATCTATAAATAAAGTCAATTCGCCAAGAACTTTCTCTCATATATTTAAACAATTGTAAAATAATTAATTTAAACTTTTGTACTGCGACTTTCTGTCCGTTTACCAATACTTATTCCTTGTTTAGTTTTTTCATATCCATTTACGAATACTTATAATGTGATAATTTTTCCGGATGCTTTTTATCCTATTTTCATATCAAACAACCATGTTACCCGTAGAACGGAGTTAAGTACAAATTAAGGAATTTAGTGCTTAAAATTTTCAACAACAAAATTTTACACTTTCATTTACCTGGATTTTTTTCTTCGCTTCGAAGCCGCCACTCTGTATCAAACATAGCCAACACCTCGCATGGCGTATTCACGATGTGGAGGGATTGACAATATACAATCAAAGTTAGCAATATACAGCAAGTAAGTAATTGGGTGTTGAATGCCAGTAGATCTGAATTTGTAAATTTGTAAATTGAATTTAACCTGTTTAGAATGTGTATTGTTGAATTGTTTAATAAAATTACACACATTATCTGGGCTGATATGCATAAAACCACTTTAGATTCAAGGTATCAATGAAACTGGGTCTGCATGAAAGAATGACTTATCACATAGAACCAGAACCTATGTTTACAGTTAGATGATAGGAAAATATAGCTGTAGGCCGAGTTGAAAATCTTTACAAATTATTTATTCTTTTAATTTCTATTGGACTGTCTGGGTGCTTCTTATGTGTTTTAAATGTTTGCGTTTTGTATTCTATAGTAAAGTTTTATAGACTGTTGTACGTCATTTGGTCGTTTTTAAGATTTTGCCATGGCGTTGTCAGTATGTCTTCGACTTATAAGTTTTATATAATCTGCATCTCTTGTGCTGTATTTTAAAATGTATCTACACAATTGCTGCATCTTTACACATTCATCAATACACCAAAAAATATGAATAAAGTTTTCGTATATATAAAAATAAGGAGATGTGGTATGATTGGTAATGAAACAACTTTCCGCCAGTTCAATTCAAAAACCTGATATAAGCAAATGTGACTTACTTACTAACTTTAGTCAGAGAGGTCTTGAATCTGAATTCAAGGATACGAAGTGGAAAGGGGGTAGAGGTGGGTTAAGGTGAGGGCATGGGGGCCCGTCCCTTTATTGGATTTGATTATTTAGAGAATCACTGAAGCGGGTCCCCTCTTTATGCATGACAGTTAGTGCCTCCTTATGACATTTTTTGGATCCACAACTGGTGAGGACTTCATAAAAAAATATTTAGTAAGTTTTTGTTTTAAATTGTGATAAAAATGTATTTACATTCACATAGACAGAAATAGGATAAAATAAACTACCGAAAGCTTAAGTCCACATAAGAGGGTATGGATGGGGGTTAACAGAATAGAGAATAACGGGCAAACAATAAAGATTAAAGAATAATGAAATGCTAAAATATGAGGAAAGAGAGTAATGAGCAAAAAGTGTAAGTTTGTAGAAATATAGCTAAAAAAAAATTAAGAACACAGAAAAAGAAGACCCCACCCCCAAGATCCTGACTTCATCTTTAACGCTGCCGGGATATTTTGAGACAAAGTGCACGTATTAGTAGTCAGCCGAAACCACTAAGCGTTTTGCATCCATACGTTTTTTTTTCTTCGGGATACTGACTGCTGAGTAAATTATCGATGTAGTAGTTAATGTTCTCGAGAGATGACCCTATAATTACAGAGACATATATACACATAGGTTAATGCCTATTTCGTGTCAGTAACCTCCTCGACACGGTTCATTTTACGTCGGCTCATTTTTGTCTTAAGAATAAACATAATTGATAAGTTTCTTTCCCCTGCATTCCCCGATCGCACTTGTAAATAGCACATTGGTCTCAAGACATTGGTACACTATACGTTACAACACTTGCCGTCAGTACTC